TAAGTATTTGAATTTAAAGAAAAGTGTTTATAAAAAACCACGAAAATATTTAAATATGAAAACTACTTTATAGTAAAAAATCAATAGAATTTTTAGTTTTATATGTAAGGATTGGCTAAACGTTGACGTGTAATAAAAGATTATTATTAAGTTTTTCATTGGAAAATAAAAAAAAACTTTTGTTACCTATAACGCTGAATACATTTTTATTAGAAATTAAAGTTCGAATGTAACGACATTGGATATTCAACGATAAACAATTGTTGTTATTTTATTATTATAAAAAAAAGTATTAATTGCAAAAACTTTAAACGGTTCACTAAAACACAAATTTTTATTCTCTATGTAAAATTCAATTTTCAAAATCTTAAGATTTTAAAGCTATTAATTATTWTTGGACCCAGAATATTTCCATTTTACATTATTTATTCTTTTTAAATGTTGAAAAATACATTTAATTATGCTTGGTAAAAAAGATTAAAAATCAAAGAATAATTCAAGATTCATATGGGTACTAAATTTTGTTTAGTGCAATTTAAAAATATCAAAAATGCAATATTGTGATCACAATTAGTTTCTCTAAGTTAATTTTTGTTTTCAAAATTCATCAAATCAATTACAACTTGCAACATTTTCATAAGTATATAGTTACACATTTTCAAAATTTTTWATTTTAATCACTAAGGATTGTATTATTATTAKTAAATAATTACTTACACCCGTATAAATTATAAATATATAAAAATAAATAGCCTAATACAAAATACCAGTATAATTGACTGTTGGCTGATAGATAGCTGCAGTCTCCGTTCAGAATTGTTTATTCCTTGTATTTCATTCCTTTTTTTTTAACTGTTACTAAAATATAGATACTATTTTTCAAGTATTAATCGACTTAAAATAACTTGGTATTTTTTTTTAAGTATCTAACCTTACAAAGTAGTTCGATACAATTTCTTGAAACTCTCTGTTTTTCGTCATGATAATATAATGATATTCTAAGTACCCATAAAATATAATATTTGGTGTATTTTCAAACTATCAAAACATAATTTTATATTTAAAACAAATTGAATAGTACAATTATAACATAAAATAATAATTTAAAATTGTAATATTATTGTAAAAGCTAATRACCRCTGTTGTTGATGTTTAACCTGCAATAAAGAAAAAATAAATATAATATTGTTATCGATCATTTGTTGTATATGTTACCGATAAAACTGTATAATTTTATCTATTTATAATGGTAAAAGTTATGCTCGATGCATAAAATAAACTAATCTAGAAAACAGAAACTATTAGAGGACATCGCGAGAAAGTTATATTTTAAGTGTCCTTCAAACTAATAATTGGTGTTGGATAACATCCAATTATAGTTCATTTATAGGTCTATGCAAATCCTTACAGAAAGTATATAAAGAATAACGTTGATATAAAAATAAATACAATATAATTTTCTGTTAACATTWATGTGATGATAAAGTATTCGTGATTTGTTGAGTGGATTTCATAATGCTTCGTTATTTAAAAAAAAAATTCTACGGTTAGGTTATTTTTTTTTTATTTGCCTTTTAATTATACGCGAGACGAAGATTTTTAAGCAAAATAACTAAAAATATTTTACCATTTTCAAAAGAGAATAAAGTTTTGGTTAAATAACATGTATTAGTTTAATTGACGTGCTTAGAACATTTGTTTAATAATTTWTCATTTTATCGATGTAATTAGGGCGTAGATGATATCAACAATATAAAAGTCAAATGTTTTAATATTATATATTATTTATTAAATACTCCAAAAAGTAAAGGTCTGTGATGAATAGAAACCAACTACAGATATTCAACTCGCATACTTTTTATATGCATTTTGATGTAATACAGGGTATAAC